ACAACTTTTATCATCACTTAGAACGGAAGTACAAAGAAAGGTAAGCTATGATGTTAGCAAAGCTAGCTAGCTAATGTTAGCAATCTGCCTCCATGCCAAAAGTCTTTACCCAGCCTTCACACCAAGTGGTTAAATCAATACTAGCTTTACATATTAAGTTATCTACCTGAATGTTTAGGGAACTAGTTTCTGTTTTTTTCTGGTCTCAGTCTTGACTTGTTCTATCGCCTTAAAGTCTTGGGCCTGTCTCTGTCTCAATTACTGTAACTCTGGACTTGGGCTTGACTTGGTCTCGKGTAAGGTGGTCTTGACYATAACACTACTTGGCAGGCCAATTTTGGCCCAATGGCTCCACTTTGGGCACCTCTGTTTTARCTGATAATAAAGGGATCYAKYCTACYTTAATGCTMCTAAAACTCTACATTAGGAGGWCGTAAAGACTTCTTTATAAAACCAYCAACTGTCCCRAGTTTTAGACGTGTCTTTGCTACAACTTAAAGGTATGACTCACTTCAACAGCTTGTCAGTGTGCTCTGCAGAAACTKATGAGCCATACTGTACATTTGCAGCACATATGGTTACACAAACTCTTCTCTAGAATAGCATACAAGCTGAAGGAGACGAACGATGAATCGTTTTTAACTCAGCTATAAGGCTTGGATGTTAATGCTGATCAAGCAGAGAGATACAGCCGGAGGGGCACACAGGAAGTCTGTTTCTATTTGTAATCCACAAAAAGATCTCAGCCCCCCCAACTGATAGGCTCTGTTTGGCCCAGAATCCTTCTCTGTACGATGCTGTAAAGCTGGTAGGACACGAGYTGTGCTTTGTTACTGCAGCACCTGGCTAAATAAAACAGGTGCTGCAAGGTCGGTGAGGTTCTGCATCAAGATATGACTAAAGTTTATAAATCGGTTGTTTGCAGCTGAAGCATTTATGATTCTGTCCTTTCATGCACAGAAGAAAGACAAAAGGAAAAAAGTGAATTAATAAATGGTAAATTCATGACTGTTTTGTACCTTCTTACCTGCATCATTCCTATCAGTTTGGACACCGTGCTGCAAACTCAAACAATCAAGGAGTCTGACCCTACTTAACACCAATTATCAAGTATCCAACAGCTACTCTCGGCAATGCTCTCCAGTGTTTCCTTCCACTTAACCTTTTTCTGTTCCCATACCCACTGCCGCCTCTCATTGACGTAATTTCTCCTCATTCCACTGTTTTTACTCCTTTTTTTAGCTTTAAGGAGTCTTAACACCTCAGAAACAAAACTGAACACATCATTCTACTTTAAAAAGATTGTAAGGATGGTAAAGAGATGGAGGACAAGATTTAAAACCAAGGATATAAAAGATTTTTTCGTTTTCCAATTWGTGTCCGATCTGCAGGCTGCTTCGCACAAAGGAGCATCAGAAAGCTCAAGGCTCTTGCGCTCAAACACATGTTCACATCTGCAAAAAGCAGCTTCCTGCGTGGGTAATATATGCATTTTTGGCGCATTCTTCCCTCCGTGTCTGCTCGTTTGCCTTTATTTTCCTCCAACACTGTTACCAGAGATATATATCTAAGAGTCAGGCTCGGGGCCTCAAGGTAACTGTTGAGATTGAATTTCAAATCAGTGTTACACAAGTTGCGTTCTAGCTTCAGCTATTTTCAACATGCAGGCTGAGACACCGCCGGGAGGGAAAGGCAAGTCATCTGCATGTGTGGGATGCAGCATGGGCGATATCATCATAGGAACAAGGCTTGACACGAAGAAGATGGATGAAGGCTTAAGTCAGTGCCGTCGTTTCAAAGTTGCTGCTTTCCGAYGGGGTAGGAATCAGCGTGGAATTACCAGGACCGTAAAAAGACCATCAGTGGTTATCCTTCTGCAGCAGGAAGTATACGTTGGTTAAGAGGTGGAAACAGCTTCAGTCACTGAACGGTCATTTTGTTTTATTAATGAGCTGCATCAAATTMTATGACTGATTAAGTTTGTAGCAAATGATATGAAACATTTAGTGTCATAATGAAGGCAGTCCATTAAACATTGAATGTTATGCTTGCAGGGAYACGTCTCTTGGTCATGCAACTCTTTAACTCATGGCATAAAGAYACACAGTCCAAATATACACTAGTTTCCTAATATAGTTCAAGTAATTGAACTTAGCAAACATAAAAAATGGCTATAATTAAGTTAATTTGACACATACTGAGCTAAATTTACTGTGGTAGTAGCTAAAACTAAGCTTAAGCTTTTTAATTGTTCTAAATTCAGAGATAATGTTGGTKTAAAAATCTACCATAAAAGGTGGTAGGTGATACAGATTGATGGCAGTTTTGTTTTTACAGGGTTGGCTGAACTAATCTTAAATTAACTGCTGAATCAAYCAATATTTCTATTGTTAGATTAAATAATATGAGTCTTTTAGTCTTTGGGGCGGCTGTGGCAGAGTGGTTAGGGGAGTCGTCCTGTAACCAGTGCATTCATATCA